AAGAAATGTTGGAATGTTGAAAATGCCTAATATCATATTCTCTCGTTTTCTTTTAGAAAGTAGTTAGACCTGCTTGCGCTGTCATCATTTCTGTGGCATACTCTAATGTTCTCTTACTTTATCCCTGGAGGATGAGGAGGAGGAGGCGCTTGTTCCCTGGGCAGTGCATTTAATAGCCATTTATTTTTTTTGAGTGGAGTTTGTTAAGAAATTACACGAGTCAGTAATCAGAAAATCTTGATTCTGAGTTGTTTAGATGTTGCCTTTTAAGAAAGTGAGGGTGCCAAATCATTAAATTTCTAACAATTAACTTTTGGAAAATTTTTGTTCTTAATAGGAACAAGAGTACAGCTGTGTAGTAAAGATGCCTTCTGGTGAATTTGCACGTATATGCCGAGATCTCAGCCATATTGGAGATGCTGTTGTAATTTCCTGTGCAAAAGACGGCGTGAAATTTTCTGCAAGTGGAGAACTTGGAAATGGAAACATTAAATTGTCACAGACAAGTAATGTCGATAAAGAGGAGGAAGCTGTAAGTAGTTTTTAAGTTAAAAAAATAGTTTGAAGAGAATTGTAATACTGCTTATTAGGTTAATTGCTAAAATTAAAAGTAGACAGAATTGGATCCCAAGTAATTTCTGAAAATTGAGATACTGTTGAAATCTGCAACTGATTTGTGTCATCCAATTTAGAATTATATTTGCAAGAAGGGAATACAAATTCAGCACGTGTACATACCACAGAACAATGGTTTATGGATCAAGCCCACACAGGCTCTTAAGGGTAGGATTGGGAAGCTAGGCATCTAACCTTTAGCTTTCTGGAGATATTTACTCTTACCAAATAATTAAGCATAGAACAGCAACTCTATAGAAGGGTATGGTTAGGAGTAAAAGTCTACCTGTTAGGAGTGCTTATGTAATCCTTATATTAGCGTACATGTTGTGGGTCCAATTGGTAGCCCATTTTAAAGGTGGAGAAGCAGGCTGAGCAACCCTAAGTGACAATTTAGCCAAAGTCACAGGCTGTATGAATCAAAGGTTAAACAGGAAGACTTCTCACTAAGGCTAGAAAGCAGACTCCATGCAACTTTGAGAGTACTTAGAGAGCCCTTGCTTAACCAAAATAGAAAAAATTAGCCGGGCATGGTGGTGCACACCTGTAACCCCAGCTACTCGGAAGGCTGAGACAGGAGAATGACTTGAACTGAGGAAGTGGAGGTTGCAGTGAGCCCAGATCATGCCACTCCCCTCCAGCCTGGGTGACAGAGCAAGACTCCATCTTAAAAAAAAAAAAAAAAACTCGGTAACCTGAGCATAAATTAAAACTTGGTAAATCAAGGACGAAGGTCCTAATCTCATAAGCTTGTTAGGATTAAATATGGTAACATTAAAGAGCTTAGCATATGCTGTGTCTGGCATATTACAAGCTTACAATAAATACTATATATTGCTTTCTTGTCCCTTGAATGGGTAGTCAACATTTAGTTTAAATAAAGTTGTAAAATTCAGTTGGAAGTTGTTTTTTTTTTTATTAATAAAGGCTAGGAGCTGATTCTTTATCTGTTTCCTGAATCACATTTCTGCTCCTCTGCTAACCTTATTTTTTTCTTTTTCTGTTTTTCTTTGTTTTTGAGACAGGGTCTTGCTCTGTCCATCCAGGCTGGAGTGCAGTGGTGCAGTCATGGCTCACTACAGCCTCAAACTCCAGGGCTTAAGTTGATCCTCCTGCCTTGGTTTCCCTAGTAGCTGGGACTACAGGTGTGTGCCAACACACCTAGCCTGGTTTCCTCTAATTTCATTCTTCCCCTTCCATTACAGTCTATTTGTTGAAGAAATTAGATGATTTGTTAAGTTTTCCAGAGTTTGGATTTTGCTGATTGCATTCCTGTGTATACGTAAATTCTTCCACCCTGTGTCCTACAGACTGGTAGCTATAGCCCTGGAGCCTTGATGATATTCAGGATGTTTTGTTTCGGGGGTGAGAGAGCATGAATACTTTATAGGTGGTGGTGTGTGCCTCTAGTAGAAGGCACAAGGGGTCTGGATGTCTTCGCAGTGTTAGCAGCTGTAATAGTCATTGTCTAGATCCATTAAGTCATTAGAGTTTGCAGAGCTGAAATTAATACGTTTCATTCATTTATTAGCTGCTTATCGGAAGAATTTCCATAAAGAAAAGCTTTCCCATATTATATAATTTGGTTATCTAAATTATAGGAAAGACGAGCTAGATACTCGATTCTTTTGCTTTATGCATCAGTCTTCAAAATTTTCATAGCTCCCTCCAAAGTGACTAATAAAAGTGTTTGTGGGTTTTTATAAATGCAAGCTAATAGATTGCAACTTTCTTGATGTTTTTCAATGATGAATCTTGTTTTCTCTTGTAGGTTACCATAGAGATGAATGAACCAGTTCAACTAACTTTTGCACTGAGGTACCTGAACTTCTTTACAAAAGCCACTCCACTCTCTTCAACGGTGACACTCAGTATGTCTGCAGATGTACCCCTTGGTAAGATAATAAATTTGAACCTTGTTTTGTAGGTAGTATATGTGATACTCCTCCGTAATTAACTATCTTCCGGTCTTTCAGTTGTAGAGTATAAAATTGCTGATATGGGACACTTGAAGTACTACTTGGCTCCCAAGATCGAGGATGAAGAAGGATCTTAGGCATTCTTAAAATTCAAGAAAATAAAACTAAGCTCTTTGAGAACTGCTTCTGAGATGCCAGCATATACTGAAGTCTTTTCTGTCACCAAATTTGTACTTTTAAGTACATATGTAGATATTGTTTTCTGTAAATAACCTATTTTTTTCTCTATTCTCTGCAATTTGTTTAAAGAATAAAGTCCAAAGTCAGATCTGGTCTAGTTAACCTAGAAGTATTTTTGTCTCTTAGAAATACATGTGATTTTTATAATACAAGAGGGTCTTGACTCTAAATGCAGTTTTAGAATTGTTTTTGAATTTAAATAAAGTTACTTGAATTTCAAACATCACAGGGCAGTGCCTTCATTTTGACCAGGACTGTTGGAAGTATCCTACTGAATTCCCAGCTACAGCTACCCTTTCATGTAAATGGTTTTTCAGTTTAGAGCAGCCTGATGGAGATCAAAAGGATTTCAAATACAGTAGGTTACTAGATATTTTAGGGGGATTCGCTTGTCAAACTTGTTATTCCAATTTGAGGACGAGGAACAAGTGAGAGTAGTACAAATCCGGTGTATTTCATTTTACTTGGCAAAAGTTAATACTCTTCAGAAGCTTCGTGTACCCAAAGTCGTGTTGGCTTTATAAGGATGTTAATGGAGTGTTTCTTTTTAGCCTAGGGAGTCCTACAAGAGTCTTTGATGTTTCAGTAGATCTGTAATGGGGCCCAAGGAGTATGGTTCTGCAACATTTCTCTAGTATAAATACACTTTTGGCAACTTCACTCGCATAAAGGATGAAGATGTCTTAAATTCCATGGATGTTGGATCCAACCAAGAAAGTGAAAAAGCCCTGAAGTTACGAAGAAAGACTTAAAAACATTCCCATTAATAGCTGTAAGATAACTGTGCTGTGTATTAATTTTTTGTGTGGTGCAGTGCCTCACACCTGTAATCCCAGCACTTTGGGAGGCAGGCGGATCAACTAAAGTCAGGAGTTTGAGACCAGCCTGGCCAACATGGTGAAACCCCATCTCTACTAAAAATGAAAAAAAAAAAAAAAAACTAGCTAGGCATGGTGGCGCATGCCTGTAGTCCCAGCTACTTGGGAGGCTGACTTAAACCCGGGAGGTGGAGGTTGCAGTGAGCCGCGATCATGCCACTGCACTCCAGCCTGGGCAAGAGTGAGACTCCATCTCAAAAATACATATATATATTTTTGGCTGGTTTGATAGTAGTAGGTTATCAGAACTTACATTAGTGTCACTGAAGTAGGTATACAACCCCCGCTGCCAAATTTGGCTTTAGAAAAAGCATTTTTTAAAAATTGCTTTATCATAATCCTTTTTTCCAGTGCATTTTTGTTTGGTAGATTAAATGACTAGTTTCTTTATTAAATTACTTGGACTGAGTTCTAGTTACTGGACGTGAGAATTAACCATGTCCAGTAGTAAGTATTCATTTTCCTACAGTGTGCCTCTGAGTGAAGAAGGAAACAGGCTACAAAAGAGGCTGATGGAATTTTGGGGTGATGGATGTATTTCCATCTAGATTGGTGATGGTTCTAGGACCATCCGTATTTTCAGAGCTCATCTATTTGTACTTGTGTATAAATTATACCTTAATAAACAACTTTCTGAAAAGCTTCATGTGCAGCAGAATGTCCCTTGTGGGCAGGCCTTTTACCTGGACAAGGCCTGAAAATAAGCACAAGTTTGTGGAGCTATTCAAGGGAAGTATAGTGGGGTATTGACAGCACAGTTTACAAGTGTGCTATTCAAGGGAAGTGTGGTAGTGGGGTGTTGAAGGCGAGCGCCCGTGGAAGGCTGGCGCCTTTCAGCGGATATCTGGCCGCACTGACTTCTGGTCCTGAGGCTGCGACGGACTCGGCTTCTGCCTCCCTGGGAAGCCATGGCGCTCTCTAGCCTGGCCCCTGTTCTAAGGAAGGGAGAAACCACGTAGCTGGCTTGCCCTGGGCCTGACGGTGACCCAGGTGGGCGAGGACCCTAGGTGCTCGCCCGCCACAGTGGAGGTAGCCGGCGGCGGGCACAGGTCGCGGCTGCCTAAACAAAACCACGAATCGGCATTCGGCCCGTGCAGCCCCGATGCCTCCTGCAGCTGATACTCGGTAAGTGATAGCCTGGGAATCTGGTTGAGGAAACAAACGCTTCCAGAGACGCAACTTCCGACGCGCCTGTTTCCGGCACGCCACTTCCGGCGCACTGATCCCGGCTGGGGCGGGCTGAGTGGCCCTTAAGCGGGCCGTACCATGCGACCTCGTACGCTGCCAACCGTGGGCGAGCTCTGGGTGTGCGGGCGGCCTGGCGCGGCGCTCCGGTAAGGCGTGTGTGCGACGGGGCGGGGACATAACCGTCCTCTTGGGGCCTGGGCGTGTCCGAGACCGCGCTTCCCGCCGAAATCAAGCTCCGAGTCATCCGTGTGGGGCATTCGTCCTCCCTGGCACAGTTTGTTTTACGTCTAAATTCGCGTCGGTTCTTATTTATCTCTCTGGCAAGGTCTGAAGACGGGCAGGAGAATAACGTATGTAGAGACGCGTAATGCCAGGCACTGTGCCAAACGTCTTATGATGCTTTTAGAACTCTCGTAACATTCAGGTGCTGAGGGAGTTTGGGGGTAGCGGTGAGCTGGTAAAAAGCCTGTTGGGAACGAAGACTGATACTTTGAAAATTCTCGTTTTTCTTTTCCCCCTCTTTTAGAATCCTCTTTGCCAAGAGTAAACATTCGTCTCCCCTCTCCCTCACGCCCCTGCGATGTGTTGTTTTGATGCGGATGTATGAATAATGTCAGGACGTACTTAACAAAAAAGTCTAAGTGCAAGTTAGATGTGGTTAAATTCCTTCAAAAACCACACATATTGGTAGTTTGAACTTTTATAGAATTAAATGCAGTCGGGATCACAACACTAAAAACCTAGTATTTGACGCAGTTTGATCCAATCTTTTTTGAAAAGTATAGAGATTAGCATTATGCTCATTTTTCAATACTTGATTTCTAGACCAGGATGTAATCAATAAAAAGGGACACTAGTATTTAGCACCAATTATTTAATTATGCTAGTTACTTTGCATTGACTGCAAGCCACTTAAAACAGTTTGTTAGGCCGGGCACACTGGCTCACGCCTATAATCCCAGCGCTTTGGGAGGCCGAGGCGTACGGATCAAAAGGTCAGGAGTTTGAGACCAACCTGGCCAATATGGTGAAACCCGTCTCTACTAAAAATACAAAAATTAGGCGGGCATGGTAGCAGGCGCCTGTAGTCCCAGCCACTTGGGAGGCTGAGGCGAGAGAGTCGTTTGAACCCTGGAGGCAGAGGTTGCAATGAGCCGAGATCCGGTCACTGCACTCCAGCCTGAGTGACAGAGCGAGACTCCGAGACTCCGTCTAAAAAAAAAAAAACACCAAAAAAAGAAAACAATTTGTTAATTTTTGGAATTAAGTATGTGCAAAGTACTTAGAACAGCTGGCATCTAACAAAGACTAGGTAAGTACTAACCACCATTATTGTGATGATGATAATGATGAATTTTCAAAATGCCAACCCAGAAACAAACTAGTCCTTTTTTTATGTTGCCCTTATGCCCTTATTGAAATACTTCATTTTATTGTTATTATTTTTTAAGACGGAGTCTCGTTCTGTTGCCCAGGCTGGAGCACAGTGGCCCGATCTCAGCTAACTGCAACCTCTACCTCCTGGCTTCAAGCGATTCTTCTGCCTCAGCCTCCCGAGTAGCTGGGACTACAGGCACCCTCCACCATGCCTGGCTAACTTTTGTAGTTTTAGTAGAAACAGGATTTCATCATATTGGCCAGGCTGGGCTCGAACTCCTGACCTCGTGATCCACATGCCTTGGCCTACCAAAGTGCTAGGATTACATAGGATTACAGGTGTGAGCCACTGTGCCCGGCCAGTTTTCTTTTTTTAAAGATATGTTTTTGAATTTAGAATTTAAAAACTTTGACTAAAATATATTTCTCCATTTTGATCATACAGCTTTGTTACTTTATGGAGGAAAAGTGGACAAATAAAAAAAATTATTTTTATTTTATTTTATTTTTGACACAGAGTCTCATTCTGTCACCCAGGCTGGAGTGCAGTGGTGCAATCTCGACTCACTGCAACCTCTGTCTCCCAGGCTCAAGCGATTCTCGTGCCTCAGCCTTCCAAATAGCTAGGATTACAGGCATGTGCCACTGTGCCCGGCTGATTTTGGGAGTTTTTTTTAGTAGAAACGGGGTTTCACCATGTTGGTCAAGCTGGTCTCAACTTACCGACCTCAGGTAACCCGCCCACCTCAGCCTCCCAAAGTTCTGGGATTACAGGCATGAGCTACCACACCCAGCATATTAATACAAATTGCCTTAATTTAAATGTTAGGATTTTTCAGACTTATCCACTGTCTCTTAAACTGGTGACATAATAGCCATGATTTCATTACCGCTGTCTGCTTTGAATATTTTGAACAAGAACCCAGGTTTTTATTCCATTTTTTTCTTTCTTTCCTTAAAATTTATTGTAAGATATTGTACCATGTTCCGTTTCTTAAGGTTGGTACAGAAGTAATTAGGAAAATGAAGTACTACTTTTGGTGCTTGGGATGGGGCAGAGAGGTGGGCGCTTCTAGAGGCACTAGTATAGCCAGGCCCTTATCCAAATTTACAAGGGTCCTGGCATGGTGGCCTGTAATCCCAGCGCTTTGGAAGGCTGAGTTGGGCAGATCACTTGAGGTCAGAAGTTCAAGACCAGCTTGGCCAAAGTGGTGAAACCTCATCTCTACTAAAAATACAAAAATTAGCTAGGCATGGTGGTGCATGCCTGTAATCCCAGCTACTCAGGAGGCTGAGGCAGGAGGATTGCCTGGAGGTGAAAGCAGCAGTGAGCGAAGATCGCGCCACCGCACTCCAGCCTGGGCAACAGAGTGAGACTCTATCACAAAGAAAAAGAAAAAAAGGAGTTCTAGACCAGCCCGGCCACCATGGTGAAATCCAGTCTTTACTTAAAAAATACAAAAATTAACCAGGCGTGGTGGTGCATGCCTATAAATCCCAACTACTCGGGAGGCTGAGGCAGGAGAATCTCTTGAACCCGGGAGGCGGTGGTTGTAGTGAGCTGAGATTAACCCACTGCACTCCAGCCTGGGTGACAAAGCAAGACACCGTCTCAAGAAAAACAAACAAACAAACAAAAAACCCCACAAATTTACGGCAAGAAACTTTACAGATCTTTTGCATTAAAGGGTTGATCTCTATCGAGGGGCAATAGGCAAAATGTTGATGTGAGTGTATTCCATTTCCTGCCCTCTTCTCCCTCCCTGTCAAACAAGAGAATCATTTGAATGCTCCTCTTGCTTTTTCTTAAAAGTGGGAGCAGGGGACAGGCAATACTGTGGTGTCAGGTGGACCTGGATTTAAGTCCTCATTATTCTACCTAGTCTCTATGTGACTTTGGAAAAATTAAAAGTCAGGGAATCTTAGTGCCAGAATAAACTGGAGTGTGATTCTTGGTGAGTGTCTTCACTGTCATTCTACAAGGACAGACCAGACTAGATATTTAATATATAGTGAGAATGTTTTCACTGTGTCAGAGGCATATCTGGTTCTCCATATGCGTATGCCTCTGACACAGTGAAAATTTAACAGTGAAGTGTAAATTGCCCATTGCTTGTCTGACGTGGCAGCCCAGAACTCCAATGCAGAGCATCTAATAATCCTGAACTCATTGGCTCTAATGCACCTTTGTCACCTACAGACAATAACAGCGTTTTTTGTTTTCAAACTGTAGCTGTGTCAGCGTGTTATGATGCCGTCCCGTACCAACCTGGCTACTGGAATCCCCAGTAGTAAAGTGAAATATTCAAGGCTCTCCAGCACAGACGATGGCTACATTGACCTTCAGGTAAATGCAGACAAGAACTGCAAGACTGGCTGGCTGTGTTTCTGTTGAGTTAGCCGGAAGACCTTCCAAATGGAGGGTTTGCTAACTGTCCCTAGGGATTAGAGGGAGCAACAAGAGGAAAACTCAGCTCTGAGACCTTTTCAGCCATAATTGCAGAAGAGGGCTGTGGCAGGGTAGTTTCAAACCAATTCCAGTATTGTCCATCTCTAAGAATTTTTAGTTGTAATGCCAGAGCCTTGTAGTTACAGGTTTTATTTACTTTATTCAGAAACTAACTAGATTGTGTTTTGTTAAGATGGAGTTTGTTTGTTTTTTTTAAGGAACTTTAAAATTTTCGTTAGGTGAAATTTTTTTTTATCAGTGTTTGTTTACACTTTAGTCAAAGCCAGTTCACCTTTTAAGGGAGAAATTTATTGCTAAAGCCAGCAGATTGTAGGAATCTTCCTTCTTTCCTGATGTCATGAAATCCAATTTATTAAAGGTATTCTTTGTGATAAATAGTAAGTAAAACAGAGTATTTATTAAATTTGTATCCTACCGTAACCATTTATAAACTAGTCAATACTATTATAGCATCTCCTTTTACGCACTTCCCCTTACAATAGAATATTCTAGGTGGAACTAGGGCCAACGAGGAAGTAGCAGGAACCCATCCTTTATAAATAAATAAATTACTCTTTATACCCACATTTGAAGGAGAGATAAAAATAGATCTGGAAAGATCTGGAAAGCTTCCAGCCACTTAGGTCAGGCACAACCATGAGCCAAACCTTAGAAAATATGTCTCTGAATCTTAACCTTGAATTGAGTTTGTTCATAAGGCAGGTTTACTTGCTATGTGGAACAAACAATTAATGGTTTGGAATAAACTGAAATTGCCTTCTTTTCCTTTTTTTTTTTTGAGACAGAATTTTGCTCTTGTTGCCCAGGCTGAATGAAGTGCAATGGTGCCATCTCGGCTCACTGCAACCTCCGCCTCCCAGGTTCAAGCAGTTCTTCTGCCTGAGCCTCCTAAATAGCTGGGATTACAGGCATGCGCCACTATGCCCAGCTAATTTTGTATTTTTAGTAGAGACGGTGTTTCTCCATGTTGGTCAGGCTGGTCTCAAACTCCTAACCTTAGGTGATCTTCCTGCCTCGGCCTCCCAACGTGCTGGGATTATAGGCGTGAGCCACCGAACCCAGCCTCTTGTTTTGTTTTTAAGATGTAGTCTTGCTGTGTTGCCCAGACTGGAGTACAGTGGCGCAGTCCTGGCTCACTGCAACCTCCCTCTCCCAGTTCAAGCGATTCTCGTATCTCAGCCTCCCTAGTAGCTGGGGGACTACAGGTGTGCACCACCATGCCTGGCCAATTTTCGTATTTTTAGTATAGATAGGGTTTCACCATGTTGGCCAGGCTGTTCTTAAACTCTCAACCTCCAGTCATTCACCCACCTTGGCCTCCCAAAGTGCTGAGATTACAGATGTGAGCCACCGCACCTGGCCTTTTCTTTTTTTTTTTTTTTTTGAGACAGGGTCTTGCCCTTTTGCCCAGGCTTGGGTACAGTGGCACAGTCAAGGCTCACTGCCACCTTGACCTCCTGGGCTCGAGCAGTCTTCTCACCTCAGCCTCCTGAATAGCTGTTACCACAGGCATGTGCCACCACGCCCAGCTAATTTTAAAATTTTTTGTAGAGACAGGATCTGTTAAATCCCCATAAGTTAGTACAGCCATCTATATACCAGGCAGTTAATAAATATATGTCTAACAAATGAATGACCATAAAGTCAGTTCTGTTTTTGTTTATAAAAAGTTTCTTATGATAACGGAATATCCTCCGATAACCATAAGCGAGAAAAGGAAAGCTTTCTGAGAAACTTCTTTGTGTTCTGTGACAACTCATCTTCAACAGAAGTTACATCTTACTCCCCTCAGCCAGCCTTTCGCTAAGACATGTTCTTTGTGAATTGGCAAAAGTGATATTTCGGAAAGCCCATAGAGGGCTACGGGAAAAAGGAAATATCCCTCAGACTGAAATCTGCGAAGAGAGCTTTCTGAGAAACTGCTTAGTGTTTACTCTTTAATACATCTCAAAGAGATACATCTGTATTCGTGGATGTCTTTGCTAACCTTATTTCTGTGGAAGCATGAGAAGCAGCATATTTCGGATCCCTTTGAATTCCATGTATTGAGTAACATGTGAGGAGGCCAATAATTAGAGCCAATCAGGCACATATATGTCCACCGCCTATACTTATACACGACGAGAGCAAGAAGCGACTTATGTCTTGGGAGAAATAACTGTCTTATCTATAGAGCGTGTTTCTGATAGAAAGATCTACATCCTCACAGAGTTGACATCGCTTTCCCCTCAAGGAAGACTTTCGCTACAGTAACAGTATATGCCATTGTCGTAGAATTGTTGTTTCTTAATTACCGGGTCAAAGTGATATTTGGAGCCCATAGAGGGCTATTGTGAAAAGGAAATATCCTCAGATGAATTTTATAAAGATACTTTCCTGAGAAACTTCTTAGGGTTCTGTTAATTCATTCTCACTGATTTACCATCTGTCTTTCGTGGGTCTTCTTTGGCTAGCTTATTTCTGTGGAATCTGGAGAACAGATATTTCGGACCCCATTTATGAGGACGCGATACCTCCGCCGTTTTTGTTGTTGTTGTTATTGTTGTGTTTTTTGGAGCCAACAGAATGCGCATATATCCTCCGGATAATACAAGAGCAATATGTTAGGTCACTTTCTGAGACAACTTCCTTTGTGTTCTCAAGCGCGTGGAGGAGCATCATGCAGTGGTGCAATCTTCTACAGCGGAGGTTCTACAGCTTCTGGCTGCAGTTCCTCACTCCCTCAAGAAGCCTCTCTGGGCTCAAGCCAAATCCTCCCTAACGCTAAAGATAGTTCTTGAGTGGACTCTCTGCGAGCAAAAGTGATATCTCGAAGCCCATAAGATGGCGCCCATAATAGATAAGAAGGAAATATCCTCAGTGAAGACATGCAAGGATCCTAGCGAAAGAAGCTTTCTGAGAATGCTGCTTAGTGTTCTGTTTAATTCATCTTCACAGATGTTACATCTTGTATTTCGTGGATCTCTTTGGCCTAGCCTTATTTCTCTGGACGATCTGAGAACTAGATATTTCTGGATCCCTTTGAAGTCCTAGTAGGGCCAAGGAATATTCCCTCCGATAACAAAGAGAAAGAAGCTTTCTGAGAAACTTCCTTTTGTGTTCTGTGACATCATTTCACAGAGTTAACAACTTCCCCTCAAAAAGCCTTTCGCTAAGACAGTTCTTGTGGAATTGGCCAAAGTGATATTTGGAAGCCCCATTGAGGGCTATGGTGATAAAAAGGAAACCCTGATCCTCAGATGACAACATTCTGGAGGAGCAGAAGCTTTCTCGCGAAGAAACTTGCTTAGTGTCAGCTAATTTGTATTTTTGTAGAGATGAAGGTTCACCATGTTGCCCAGGTGGTCTCAAAAACTCTTGCATGGTTCTCTAAGTGATCATCTCTGTCCACGCAGACCGTTCAGACCTCCGAACACTATGCCTGAGCCGAGTGGATTACTCTTATATTGGGGTGTGAGCTCTCCTCACCTGTTTTAAAGTGTTTGAGGCTGGGCTTGATGACTCACACCGTAAGCCAGCACTTTGGGAGCAGGAGAGGCGGGAGAATTCCCTTCGAGCCCCAGGAAGTGGAGACCACCCTGTGGGTAAGCATAGTCGAGACCCCTATCTCTACACGAAAATTTTAAACATAGATGGGCATGGCTGGCATACACTTGAAGTCCCAGCAACTGCAGAGGCCGAGGCAAGAGAATGTGCTTGAGTCCAAGAGTTTTGCAGGCGTTGCAATCGAGACTAACATTGCACCACTGCACTCCAGCCTAGTGACAGAGCAAGATCTGTCTCAAAATCAATAAAACATTAGGTCAGCGGCGCTGTTGCTCACGCCTGTAAGTCCAGCAAACGTTGGGCAGGCCGAGGCGGGGATAACCTGAGGTCGGACTTGGCGAGAGCCAGCCTGACCAAAGCAAGGTGAAACCCTGTCTCTAACCTAAAAATACCCCCAAAAAAATTGCTGAGTGGTTGGTAGGCACCTGGTAGATCCCAGCTTACCTCAGGAGCTGAGAACAGAAAATCACCTTGAATCCGAGGAGGTGGAGGTTAGCAAGTGCAGCTGAGAGCGTGCCATTGTACTCACCTGGACACAACAGAGCACAACCCGTCTCAAACAAGCAAAAAAACAAAAGAAAAAAGAGAGAGA